CCAGGGTCATGGAGCAGCTCGAAGACTTGGACAGCCGGGTTCTCTACAGCTCAGCCACCAAGAATGGCATCCAGTACCGAGTGGGAGATGGCGTGTACCTCCCACCTGAAGCCTTCACGTTCAAGTGAGTGCCTCCTTTGGCCCAGGTCAGGGACAGGGAGCTCCATGCCAGAAAAGAGTTGGCTTGGGGATGTTCCCTCCCATAGAAACACCCCCAACCCCTCAGCCTTAGTCCCAGCTGCTGCCTGTGCCATCACATCAGCATCCGTGGAATCAGATGGGATCCAGCCGTCCAGTCCAGAGTGACTGTGGACTGCTGCTGAGTGAAGCTGTGCATCTATGCAGGAAGTCTGAGAGAGAGCTGCTGGGTCAGCTGTGAGGCTTTGGGCTAGGGCTTCCTCTCAGTTCCACCTGTAAGATAGGAGGGAAGTTTCTTGCCTGATAGGGTTCTAATGATTCAGTGAGTTAAAGTAAAAGTGCTCAGCATCACACCTGGGTTAGAATAATCTTTAATGAATATGGACTATTGATTGACTAATGGGAATTCCATCATAAGACTTCTTTAGACGTCAGAGGATTGAGGCTCTTCTGGGACAAATCAAAGCCACAGATATTTTCCACATTTGATCCATTCTTTGTTCATTGAAGAACTAATATGTGTGGTTGGAATTACAACCAAAATTTTCCTAACCTAATCAATTCTGTTTCCTGACTTGAAATTCCATTTTTCTAGAGCCCTAATTGGAACCCGTTCCCCAGCCTCAGTTCAGTTACTATGAATTCACAAAATGCGAGGAAGTAGGTTCCCTACAGCCTCAGCACAGTCAGTGCTTTCGCCCCTCTGGCACTGTTGCCCTGAGCATGGAGAGGGAGGACTTCCTGTGGTGCCCCTGGTGCAGCAGATGAGTCAGACACAGGTGCTCAGAGGCTCAGGGACTTGGGCGGGAAGCAGGGCCGCTTCTTCCCGAATGGCTGTCTTCAAAGAATGCAGCCCAGTGGCTTAGCCGCCAAGTGAGGAGGGCACTTTGCCACAGTGGTTCGGACCACATTCGGGTCACCCCAGACCATGTGTCCCCTCCCCCACCTTCTCCAGTATCACTTCTAGTCAGTACCTCAGCCAGTGGAGGGTGGGTTGTGCCACAGTAACAGTTCCAAAATTACAGTGACTGAAAACCACAGAAGTTTCTGTTTCTTGTTTGTACTTTGTGTCCATCGTGGTCTGTGAAGTCACTCAGGGACCAGGAAGCCAATCCTGCTATGTGGCCGGGAGGCGAGGAGCTGGGAAGATCTGAGCATCATTCACGACTATCACAGCCTTTAGTGCACAGATGGAGAACACTCCTTTTAAACTATTTATGAGAGTTCATCTTTGTCTCAGTCTTTTCTAAGGCACTGAGCTGTTTGGATTAAAATGGTTATTGTTACTGACCAGTTATGCTAAAGTACTTTAAGTCTTAATGTTCAGTTGTCATAATGGTTGCTTCTCTGCAGCATCAAGCTGTCCAGCCCAGTGAAACGCCCCCGGAAGGAGCCTGTGGACGAAGATCTGTATCCAGAACACTACCGGAAATACTCCGACTACATCAAAGGCAGCAACCTGGATGCCCCTGAGCCATACCGAATTGGCCGGATAAAAGAGATCTTCTGTACCAAGAAGAGCAATGGCAAGCCCAATGAAACAGACATCAAGATCAGAGTCAACAAGTTTTACAGGTGGGCAAAGGCCTCCCTCTTCCAGGAGGCTGTGTTTGAAATGGGCTCATCACGCACACACACAGTTGTGTTTTGTTGGCTAGAGTTATGTATATTTTCACCACAATTTAAAAAAAAAAAAAAGGTAGATTACCTGGTGGGCACTGACAATGAATGTCATCATATTTTATAGCCCTAGCTTTTAGATGCTTCTTT